GGACTTCATGCTTAAGAGGGTCCTCATCTGAGATTTATCGTCTTGTAGTCATACCATTTTTTTTTTAAAAAAAGGTATCTTTTAATGTTGCAGTTGTGTTGGTTAGTCTCTTGGTTTGCTAGGGCTGTCATAACAGAATACCACAGATTAGATGACTCGAAGAACAGAAATTTAGTTTTTTACAGCTCTAGAGGTTGGAAGCTAGAAGTCCAAGATCTATCAAGGTGTCAGCAGGACAGTGTTCCGCACGGGGCCGTGAGGCAGGGTTTGCTCCACACCTCTCGCCTAGCTCGCAGATGTGTCTTCTTGCAGCCTCTGCACGGGGCCATCCCTCTGTGCCTGTGCCTTGGGTATTCTCAGCTCCTTTCCTCTAAGGGCACAGGTCAGGCTGGACTTGGACACACCTGTAGGACACACTTAACCTTTGTTTCCTTTGAGGATTTTTAAATTAAATTCCTACTTCCCCATCGCCTAGGATAAAACCAAGTGTTCCTTTCGGGCCTCCATGAACTCATCTACAGGATGTACAACAGTAACATCTGATAATTTCTTTATCCAGTTGTCCCTTTTAGTTTGTCGGCAGTTTTGAGGGCAAGAATTTGGTTTTAATAATTGTTTTTTTTTTCATAAAAGTAAACAAAAAGAGATAAGAAAAAAATCAATTTTAAAATTAACAAAATAAGTAATTGCTTTTTCACAAGGCTGGGTGTAGACCTGAGCCAGCAAATGTAAGTAGATGCTGACAGGTCAGATGAATACGTGCATGAACGAGTGGCTGATTAAGGGGCGCCTGAGACTGGCAGAGAGTGTCCTTTGGAGTCAGGTAGGCCTGGGCTTATTATATCTTGGCTCTACCAGTATCTAGTACTGTGATTTAGGAAATTACTTTTCCCAATTATTCCCAATTTTGGAATTGGGTCAATAGAATTTACTTCAAAGTAAACTTGTTTACTTTGTTACTACAGCTGCATTTAACATTCCTATCACTAAATATCTGTGAACTTGCAAGGTATTTTGAAATGAAGAGAAAAAAAAAAAAGACAAGGAAGCTATCTTTCTTATAGATTCAGTTGTTAACAACCACTGAATAGTCCTTATTGCCTACGGGGTACAAGGTACCCATGGAGGAATAGGAACAGCCCATCTTCAAGTGAAGCTCGAAAATACCAAGTGCTATAAAAGAGGTTTCAGATCTTAGAATGAGAATTCATTTGTAACCATGGCAGTGTGGAAGGCTTCCTGGAAGAAGTGGCATTAGAAAGAACCTTTACGGAAAAATAGGAAACAGATGCTGGTGATGGGAGAGGGAAGAAGGGAATGGATACAGTTGCGGGAAGGCAGAGAGACCAGGAGAGAAATGGGTGTTCTGTCCTCCTACTGATGACATTGCTCCCACTGCAGCACTGCAGTTTCAGCCTCTGGAACTGATGGTTTTCCACATAGTACAATGCCAGCCTTTGGCACTCTGCCCAGAAAAGGCCATGTGATTCTGACAGCTGGGGCAGAGGCTGGCGGCATGGGCTTGAGCTGTTGTCTCTCGGAAGCAGTTTCGCTGCTGTACTCTCTGACTGGCAATATCTCCACACCCCATGACATATGGGACTGCAAGGGTGATGCATTGCATCCCTAGGATCAGGAAGATATAACTAAAATCAATGTAGAAAGTTAAACAAGGACTGGAGTCTCATCACAGATGGCCAAATGATGTCATTTAGAATTAATCTGCCTGTGAATGTGGCTGAGGAATATACACACACAGCTGAAAAGATGATTTATAAAATATTTCATTTGACACATAATAATGAAACTTGCCTTTGGGGGAAAAAAAAGCCTCAATGAATGAGACATCATTTCCAGGAATTCTATTCTAACACCAAGTGGTTGAATTAATCATGCTGAAATTGTTACAAGACAGGGAGAGGGCACCCCAGAACCTCCAAACCTGTTTACTCTAAACAGGTTCTGTCATCCGCTGCATCAAGACAAAACATAGAAGACCATTAATGGAAAGGAACTTTAATAAAATTAGTAAACAATACAGAAAAGACAAAGAATATAGTTTCTAAATCAAGTACCCAGTTACCCATTCTCTCATGGGTAAAACTCCACCCTAAAGAGATTGGCCCAAAGAAAGACCTGAAAGCTGCCACAAGTCTAAAGCACCTTCTGGTAGGGACCCATGGAGAAGGGTCAGAAATGGCCAGACAAGTCTGGGAGGAAAAGAGCAAAATCAAAATCAAGATAAACACTGCCATTAGTAACCTCCCTACACCGGTCTCTCACACCATCTGTTTCAGTCAGTCCAGGACCAGAAAACAAGAGCTGCCTCTTCACATGTCTCTGCTCCATGTGCCTCCCCCAGGTCTCCTTCTGGCTCTCCAACCTGCTTCATTTCTCTTCAGTCTCTTCTCCAGATTCCTCTCCTTCCTGCTCAGCTCCTTCTGGGTGGGGCAGGGAACCTGGAACCTCCCCTTTTCTTGGGGGCCACTGTGGTACAATATCATTTTTGGAGTTGTTGGGTTCAGAGAGCAGGGTCCTTGAGTTCCCTCTGTGAAAGGTTTCACCAGAACTCCCCTTACCAGTACCAGCAAGTTCCCAGGTGAATTTCTCCACGACACAGAGATGTTAGTTATATCCAAATAGGCAGGTTTATTATAAAAGGGAGAGAATACAGGACACTTATATACACACAAAGGGGCAGAAAGGGCAGTCCTGTAAAGGATGGTTTGCTAAGAGACAAGACTGCCTGGCCACAGGTGGGCAGCCTTGAGGAGAGAGACCTCTGCAGAAGGAGGTCAGTGGAGAGAAGCCCCTCCATGGTAAATGTCATGGGCAGGCAGGAGGCTGCTGCCCTAAGAGGGACAGAGAGTGGCAAAAAGGAGCACATGCATAGGCACAGGTGGGCAGAAGGACTGCTGACTGCCAGCGTAGAGATCACACTGATTTAATCTTTCGGAAAGGGGTCCACTCCTTGTTGACATTGAATACTCTATGTAGAAATTGAAAGGGGCCAGATTTCCACAATGGCCCTCAATCTCCATTTTTTCACCTTTGGGTCTGAGCTCCTGACACACACTCTGATACCTGCTTGCCTTTGTGCTTTGTGAGCTAAGTATTGGTACCTGAGGACATTAGTGCCTACAGCTGGGTTAAGGGCTATGTTAACCCCTTCTGCTCCAGCCTTGGCGTTGTGTGAGCCAGGTTTGTGGCATTCCTTTCCTGTTTTTCTATTCTTACCCTCCAACAATATGATATCATGCAGTGTAGTCCTGGGTACGCTGGAGTTCTGGGCCAGCCTTCCTGAGCTTGAAGGCAGCTCCTCCATTTACTAACATATGACTGTGGTGAATCCACTTCATTTCCTTGAGCTAACGTTTACTTCTCTGAGAAATGGAACCAATGGCACATGTGAGTCCTAAAAGGAATGACCCACACAATAAAGAACATCTCAGTGTGAAACCGCAAGCAGAAAGTGCTTTCTTCCCAAATGCCAGCAGTAATGACTGGCTGGCTCCCTCATTGTTAGGGCTTGACTCAGAAACCACCTGACTGTGAGATCAACTCTCATCACCTGATTTAAAACCACCCCACCACCACATTCTCTATCCCTCTCTGAGTTACTTTTTCTCCACAACATCTAATCGCTGTAGCATCTAAATCGCTGTGATATCTGAGACATATTTTACTGTTGTGCTGTGTTGTGCGAGAACAGATAAGCCGTGCCCAGCACTCAGATCAGGGTTGTGCGTGGAGTATGGCCTCAAAAAATATTTAGTGGGAGGAGTGAGCCCTGCTTGCTAACTTGACTCAGTCCTTCCCTTCGGGGTCCCTGTTCGAGAGACACCGGATTATGGGCACCCCCTCCTGGCGCCAGGAGTTAAGACCTAAGATCAGATGGCAATTTGAACAGCGCAGTAAGAAGGTGCCCACCCTTGCTGAGCTTGAACCCAATTGACCTTCTCCAAGCCAACCCACTCCTTCTCTGTCCTCTAAGGAGCTCGGACGACCCGAAGTTGGCTAGAGGGACCCACTCCGGAGACCCGGGGATGGAGGGTGGGGTGCAGAGACTCGTCTGATGGCCTTTTCCTGTCCACAACAGGCTTCCC